TTCCCAAGGCCTAGAACAGTGCAGGTTCTGAGCATGTAGAGGCTTTAACAAACCTCCCCCAAAATAATCTATTTAGATGAATACTTGTCATTGGTTTTCATATGTATTTTTTTAACCACTTATTGCAGCAATATAGCTGGTTAGTAAAATATGGAGGGAAGCTATCAGATTTCATTTTAATTGCATTTGTATTCAGCCAGATGGCAAAAATCCAGGTGTTAGTGGTAAGTAATATTCTTTAATATTCAAATCAACACTGCCCAATGCTCCTTTAGAAACAGACTGTCTCCTTTCTGATTGCTTGGGTTTGTGTAAGTGGGGCTCTTATGGGTCTATTGAGAACAGTTGTTATTCAGAAATAACCAAGTCAACTCCTTGTCCCCAAAAATGCTTGGAAACACAATAGCATGACTAGAAAAGGCTGACATACAGGTGAAAACTCAATTTCAGCAATAAATGAACTGAAAAATCACTTCACATGGCAAAAGAGAAAGTAAGATGACAGGGACTGGACTGGGACAAATGTTTCTTGTGTAGCTTCATATTCAGCATAATTGTACTAAGTCTCTGTATGAACGGTGTAATACAGTACTTTCTTTTTACTTACAACTTCCATTATCCCCTGTTTTCTCTCTCTGCAAGAGTTGCATTAATCCTAGAGATGGCTGTTTGGCTGGTGTCTGAGGACCTCTATCATCATCTTTGCTAATTCACAAGATATGGGATGGTTAATGGCTAAAGATAGATCATTTTGTCTGTGTTTGAGAGAAAATAGAAAGAATTTGCCTTTTACCTATCATTTTATACATGCTATCTACAAATCTGATTTTTACATGCTTATGCCTAAGAATTTAGCAAGAAAGGGACTCCGTCATGACAAGTGTTGTAAGAAGTCTGGCTAAGATAAGTTTTGCTTAAGAGAGGTTGGGACCAGCTTCTCTGAAGCCACCTTAGACATTGTCTACATGCTAATGCCTATATGATATGATGTCTGCCTCTACACATATCTACTTGAAGTACAGCTACTTAATAGGCAAATGTGGCCCTCAGTTATTTTATATAAGCCCTTAAGAGGGACTTGAAACCTTTGAAAGTTTTTCACAAAAAAAAAAATCACTTTAATGGCCTCAAGCTGTGCCAGGGGAAGTTTAGGTTGTATATTAGGAAAAATGTCTTCACCGAAAGGGTAGTTAGGCACTGGAACAGGCTGCCCAGGGAAGTGGTTGAGTGAGTTTTCATCCCTGGAGGTATTTAAAAGAAGGGTAGACGTGGTACTTAAGGACATGGTTTAGTGGTGGACTTGGCAGTGCTAGGTTAACGGCTGGACTCAATGATCTTAATGGTCTTTTCCAACCTTAACAATTCTATCATTCTATGAATTAGGCATAACCCCTAATCCAGAAAAAGTATAAATCAATAATGAATGTCTCTTCTCTCTGCAGACTTGGTTATTAGGAGGGTGGGAGGAAAAAATACCTATTAAGGTATGGAGAGTTAGCTATGAAGATATTAATACAGATACAGGCTGGCATATGATCTGTATAGCAGTTTGTATTTGAATGGCAAACTTGTTAGCACACGGAATTCCTTAAGCCACTCAGGAGCATGATAGGAGCAACATCTGTGATTTGAATACTGACTCAACTAGAGAACGATGTGTCTTCAGTATTACAAACTTCGGGAGAGAAGATGGCAATTTGCTTTTATCATAAATGAAGACAGAACATAATTATGAAATCTTATCACAGTAGTATTTTCTTAGTTATATGAATCATCAAAAAAAAAAATTAAATTCAGTAGATGGACACAAATATGATGCAGTAAAACATCAACAGCAGTAACATCATATATCAAAACATGACCAGTAGCTGAACCCAATCAAAATCTGACTGGATAATACAAAGGTCAGTTGACAAGATGCATCAGCTTTGAGTCAAAATGTAATTAGGAAAATTTAATACCTTTTAGCCTCTTACTGGCCGCATTATGAAGTGCATTACTGGGACTCGGCATGAAGCAAGCTGTGACACAGGGGCAGGTGAAAACAAATTGTGCCCAGCGTCCTGCATGCTGGTTACACAGCCCCTGAGGTCAATGTGCTCATACATGCTCAAGACCAAGACTAGTCTTCATAACACAAGCAGAGAAATATTATCTATCTAGTGGAATATTTTGGTTATTTTACGCAGATTTCTGTCTTGCTATTATTTCATGATCAGTTTCACTTAAATCCCTGTGTCTTTATTTTGTTACTTTATTTTCAGAGGCCTCCATCAGCTTCATGCTGACCTTTGGGACTCTGGTTAGCGTAAATATTTCGCATTCCTTTGTACCAAATGCTTGTCTGTGTTTTCTGCTGAATCCATTATTTTGGGAAGAAAAAAAGTCACAGTATGAAAACATCACGGACTTTTCTACAGCAGGCTTTGTGCGTTCCTTTGTTCTCTCCTCACATATGCTATGCACATGCAGCTGCTGTTCCCCACTAACCTAGGTGGATGCTAATGGTAGCAGACCCTAGGTTGTATGTTAGTTTGAGGTTCAAGAGGAATAGGGATGGGATTTACCAGCAGGGAGCTTATCTTCTACCTGACATCTTCAAAACCTCCAGCTGAGGCATGTTTGTCACTCAGGATAACCTTTGTGCCCCTCATGGCCCATGGGGGTGTAGTTAGGACTGAGCCTGATGCTCTTATGGAGATGTGTCTTTGAGTTGGGCACTTTATCAGTAATTTTGTTTCTAAATGACATTTTGCTATAACTTCTGTCATGACAGACCTAAAGGAATCTATTATTTCTGTTTAATGAAGCATCATTATTAACACATAATGGAGACATAATTGATTGAAATACCAGCTGAGAATTTGCTTGTTTCTCCTTTTCTTGAAGGAGATTTTTTTTTCCTGCAGAATTATCTGCAGAAATGTTTTAACTAAGTATCAAGTATTTCAACTAAAAGCTGTCTTTGTTTTAATGTTAATATCAAAACATTCTACTATGGAGCTGCTTTGTGACACCCAAGGATGAAAACTGATCCATATGGATGGAGATGGTAGCTAGCGCTTCTTAGAGCACGTACTGTATGCTTGCTTTCTTCAGCTAATGGGATGGTGAGACAAAGTGAATGCAAGGGAATTTCAGCCATTTCAGGTTCTCAGCAGTAGGCAACTAGAGCTGCTACAGCTGAGGGAGCAGGGCTGGGGCTATGTTGTATGGCTGGTGTATGCAGGAGAGGTAGGAAGAACAAACCTGGACACGTTTCCATTAAGGAAACTGGGGTGACCTAATCTTGCAGTCTTGCAACGGGGGAAAAAAAAGAGCAGTCTTTGTCTGTCAGTTAGTTGTTGCTTTAACACAGCACTCTTCCCTCAACAAGTGGCAAGAAAGCAATTGTTGATGAAAAGGTAAGGTGTGGGTTCATGACACCAAGCCAAATGTGTGTTTTGCCTCTTTCTATGCCTACTTCTGACCAGGGTCTGGGCTGTTCTGCTTGAGTGAGGGAAGGTGGGTTAAGGATTAAGGAGCTGATACACTCATGAAAGGAAGGGTATAAGCACTCCACCTTCACATCTGCAGATAGTCAGGTAAGGTTGGTTGAAACCTCAACTTGTCCGAGCACTTGTAAGGCAAAATAGTAAGAATGAGTTCTTAGATCTTATCAAATTAATTAATTAGATCTTTGGTTTCATGCTGAAGGGAGGACTAAATACAATAGCATGCTTTTCTTTTTTTCCTTTCTGGATACCCTGTGATGAAACAATGTTTTCCTTCATGTTTTCTTTCATCTCTTAAGCAGCACAGGGAAGATTTTGTAGAAAGGTTGTAAAGGCCTAACTTGCCTATATTTATTCACGTTGCATAGTATCTTAGCCTGATTCATTCCAATAGACTTGCTTACAAATCTAGTTTCTATTCAATTGTGACAGGAAAAATTGGAATTCAATTTATACAGTTGAAATAGCAAATGTTGCTTTAGAATTAACAGTGGAGTCTTTGCTGCAAAGATGTTAGAAGAAGGTAAAATAGCCCATAGTTAATGTTTCCATACTTATCTTGTCTGATATACAATGTGGTCCATTCTGTCATTTTTCACTGGTAAATTATTTCTGCTTTGTGGCTCAGAAATTATTAGTGAGAGAAAGCTGTAAAAAATGAAGCTTGGAAACTTGACATCTCAGCGTGCTCCGAGAAGAGCACTAAAACGTCAACTGATTTGGCAGCTATTAAGGCACAACTGCAGTTTTCCATTAACACATTGAACTAGCTGCGCTACAGCAGATAAAAGTCCCCTTCAAAGCAAGAAAGAAAAGATTCAGAGTAGGTCATTGCCTATACACGGAGACTAAATTAACTAGAACAAAAAAAACCTCACAGCTTCCAGAAAACTTACTACTCTGCATCACATACTTCATTCACACCAGATGGGTCTTAATGCAAAATATTTCTTGGTTTCTTGCTGTTTTCTCTGTTGTTTTCTAGAGGTATATTCTTGCACAAATGATCAACTTGTAAGGAGGAAACTATTCCTTTTGCCACAGGTGTAGAGAGCAACAAATGAAAGAGAAGTAATTTAGGAGTTGGATTGTACACAAATTTTCACTTTCAATTCTTTCACTTCATAATACTTGATTTTAGAGTTATTTAACCCTGAACAAACATCTGCAATAACAATAGTATGCTCAAAAATGATTCTGATCAGTTTAGGGGAAGAAAAAAAAAGTCTTCACACGAAGACTTCAAGTAACCAACTAACCCTTTGAGATAAACCCTTAGGTACAGATTAGGCCTTCACCTCTGTATTCTGGATAACTCCAAGGAGGCTTTCTACTCTGTGGGCACAACAGGGGCAAGCTGTTACTGGACTCCGCAAAACTGGCATGTATTAGGGGCTGCAGTGGCACCTATCGAGCAGCTCTGCTGCTGTTGTACATCACAAGTGCCTGTCCTTCCCCTCCGACCTCCATATAGTGCCACCTGGTTTCCTCAGCTTGGTGTGAGTGATGGAGCTGAGCCTTGACACTGATGCAACCTCCATACTGGACCAGCATACAGCACAACTTACAGCTTACAGACATGAGCCTTATAGCAGCTCAGAAACAGCACGTGCCATTTGGCAATGTGAGTCTCTGCAAGAGCTGACTGGAGGATAAGTACACTGAAGGAGCTTGGTCAGTTAGCCAGCAAGGACCCATTTGTCCTGTTGGAGAGGTCATTTGATTGAGGTTTTGGGACAGTCAAAGAAGAGCAGAGCCTGTGTGTGAGAACGGAGAGTGAGGGAGGCACTTCAGCCACCTGAGAAACACGGGGAAGGGGAGCGCATGTGTGTGTTACGGATGGAAATCTAGCTATTTTCCCATGAAAGGGAGGTGCAGCACAGGAATTGAGATCAGTCGTGGCCAGCCCACTCATCTCAGCGGATTGAACGTTCCTGCTGGACTGAAATTGTGATGGGGATATTTTGATACCTGAATTTTCTCATAACTTACTACTTGGTGTCAAGGAGGAGTATATGCACAGAATGAAAGGAATCATAAAAGAGTTTTTTTATAAAAATTGTCTGGGGAATAAAAAGAACAAGACAATGGACAAAGGACTCTCCATAATTCTGCACATACATCTTGAATTAATGCTTTGAACCCAATCTTTAGTTAGAGGGAGAGGTGTGATCCCTTTTCCTTGTAAATGATTAGTGTCCTACATAATTCAGTGCTAGCCTTTGGATGTTTGCACTGCTATGTACATATGTGTACTCTGGCAATAAGCCATAGTCACTCACCCAGTGGTAAGGATTAAAATGTTGAACACCTCCTCCTTCACTGTGCACTCTGTTCTGTCAATGAGACAGAGCTCCTGGGGAAAATAAAAAGGTGGTGATCACGTACGCAAAATTTGAATCACAACATTATAAATTGAGGGAATGAGCTGCGATTTCACATGCAGCTTTCATTCTTGCACTTCCCACTTCTGAGCATTTAGTGTTATCACTTTGTTACTTTGATAATAGGGGTAGCTTTTGTTCCAAGAATTCTTATGAAGAAACCCATTATTTTATATGCATCTGTAACAAAGGGTCTGCTCCTTGATTCCTCAGGATCATTGCCCAGCTAGGACTATGGCTCTTACTGCATTCATTGATAGCAAGGCTCTTAACCTATATGAATAAAGGGAAATGGCAGGAAAGGAATTGGGACATAAATCGTCAGGATGTTATCAGAGAAAGTCCAAATAGGTGGTCACTTACTGATCTCAGAGCCTGGCTTTTTCCACAGATATCTGTGGCACAAGCTTGTCCTTACATTAGGTTATTCTTATTCCTGTATTATTTTGGCAGACTAATTACTGATAAACAAGTGGCTTTTTGGAAGTCTGTTTGCCAAGCCTAAATAAGAATGAGACCACAAAGACGCTTACTGACAGCCTTTCTCCCAGATGAACTTTAATAGGGTGAAGGTTACAGAGTTGGGTTTTTTTTTTTTAGAAAGGTTACAAGAATCCTAGGGAACACTAAAAAACTTAACATAAACTAAACATAGTTTATCCCTACTGCCCCTATAATTTAGATAGGTTTTCACAATGAAAAAGATCCCCAAAATAAGAGATACTTTCAGATTTAGCTAAAAAGCGTGAGATGATCCTGTTCTTAAGTTCCTGTGTTCATGCAACTTTGATACAGTCTGCTTATTCTCTGCAAATTCTTGAAACTATGCTCTGTGCAAATATAGAGAAGTCTTCAGTCAGCTCTTGTGCTGTATGCAATCTGCTGTGGGAAATGTGCTACTTCGTCATTAAATATGAAAATGAAGCAGCACTAAAGCAAGAAGAATTAATTTTATTGTATCTTTTAGGCTTCTTTGTTCACTTCTATGTTTACTTCTATGTCTATTCTTTGTGTATAGAAAAACACTGCCTTAAAAAACCTAAGTGGAGCTTAAGTTATACGTTGATGTTGCTGTTTCCCAGTGACAAATTAGTTTTGGGTTTTTTTTTTTTTTTTAAGGTAAAACAGGATAAAACCTGTTCAAAGATAAAGCCAAAGGGTTATTTACATGAGAGTCATGTATCTGGGTTTGCTTAAGAGTGGGAGTAAATACAAGATTTTCAAATGCAAAACTAACATGGTACAATAAAATACTGTCCTTGCAAAATTTTCCAGTGAAATGATAAAATCTGTTGATTTCTAAACATTCTAAATAATGCCTGGTAATTCTTATTACTTTGGTATCCTTCGGTAATTCTTACTTAGCAAAATAAACTCTCCTACTTTTCTTCTCCAATGATAAATTTCCATAGTGAAAAAAACTTGATCTTTTAAGAGCTGGAGTTCAGTTGCAGCTGATAAGTGAGTTTGTTTATTCCACATCTTGTATATGTTGAATAAACTCTAGAGAATCTCATAGTTGAAGAAAATTATAATTATTTTTCCTTTTTAGGAAAAGGGCATGTGTCTTTCTCAGCCAAAGAACTGGAAGGAAAAAAAAACCATTATTTTGTCATTTGGCTTTTGATTCTTTCCACAGACACAGACACAACTCTGAAGGGAAAGGAAAAACCAGTGTGAATGCAGTAGATATAGTGCTTTTCGAAAGCATCACAGGGCTTCTTTATGGTATCTGAATAGTATTGTGATATCTGCTAATATCTGGAGTTTCTGTTGGCTGTGTTAAGGGATGTTGAGTGTGGCTGCCTCGTCCAGTACCTCCAGTCCCAGGACTCCCTCCTGCCTGGCTGCTGGTGCCCACGTTGGTACCCAGCACCTCTCTCTGAGCTGAGGGATGTGGCTGCTGCTTTCCCCTTTGCAGGTTCAACCAGTAGCAAAGCTGAGCAGGTATCCCAGCGCCACGCAAACAGCACAATAACACTGCCATAACACAGGTTGCCACAGACAAGGCGCTGCCTTCAACAGCACCCACGTGCAGGACCCACATGAAACGTAGACAGCTGAGCGCCTTCCTCCTCTTCGGCTGGTAGAGATAGAAAGTCACTAGGGAAGGGACATGTCCAGATCCACACACACTCCCCATTTTACACGCAACCAGCCCCTTTTATACCCCTTTCTGTCCATTCCCCCTTTGTTCCTCCCCATTTCCTAACCCTGCATGGGCCCTCATCAGATTGCATAGTCCCACCAACCCCCCCAACAACCTGGGTCCCCAGGTGTGCATCCTTATGAAGTTGCAAAGTCCTGTTTGCCTGTAGTTTTTTGATAGCCCACCAATTATTGTGTCTGATGAGGGTTTTTTTTCTTTTTTCTTTCTTCGTTAAGTTTTCCCATCAGGTTTGTATCTCTATATTTTTTTTTATGGCTTCCTCCTTTTCTTATTATCCCTTTTTGCCCTGAAAAAGTCATTGACCAGATACCCTTAAAGGACCAGACACTCTCTCCTTCCACACACCCTTACAGGTTGTATTTAAACACATTACAGTGAAGAGTAGCTATGAGGTCCTTGTGAATACACCCTCTCAAGGTTAGACAGTAGAATCAAGAAAATGCTAGCTGCTTCTTGCCACTAAAATTGGGAATTTTAAACATTTTTTTTTTTTCTGATCAGGTAGCTTCGATTACCAAATAGAAGTGGAGTTGGTCCTTTAGTATGAAACAAATAAGAAAATACCCTCCAAATAGATCCTGGCTTTAACAGAGGGGCCTGATGGTACAGTCATTAAAGTAGAGAACATTCTTCGAGAAGTCAGTGGGAGTTTTCAGTGTCTTGCAGAGTTTCACAGGCCTTGGGAAGAGAGCCATAGATTCCCATGAACTGTATGATATTTGCAGATTAAAGCTAAGCTTTTCAGCAGTGTCACTGTATCACCGTGAGCCCTTTCATAGAGGGGCACAAGAAAAAACCTACTGTCCTTGTCCATCACTTCACCATCACAGCATCTATGCATGCTGTGGTGTATTTTTCTTCAGTTGTGATATTCATTATTATACTCTAAATACTCTCATATTTATATTTTTCAGGTCAAAAGGTGTGCTATGGTGACCTCAAGCATTCTTGTTACAAGTTAGCTTATTTCCAGGACTTGTCTAGACGTGTGGGCTTTCAGGAGGCCCGCCAAGCTTGTGAAATTGATGGTGGAGCTTTACTGAGCCTGGAAAGTGAAGCTGAGCAGCAACTAATAGAAAACATGTTGCAAAACCTCACTAAATCAGGCTCCGGGATTTCTGATGGTGATTTCTGGATTGGGTTGTGGAGAAGTGGTGATGGACTAGCCACCTCAAGTGCTTGCCCTGACCTCTACCAGTGGGCTGATGGAAGTATTTCACCATTCAGGTAAGTCTGTAAAACTGCTTATTGAGAAGGTTTCATGGAAAGACATGGAGAGTGAAATGCCCAGCAAGTCTTCTTGAAAGAAGCTTGAAGACTTGCTGCCCCGTGAAGTTAGTAGCATACCTCCTTAACTTCTCCAGATAAAAGGGAGCTGACAACCAGGGTTTTGAATTTGAAGCTGTAAAAGGATGGCATAGTGTGGCTTCAGCCTACAATTTTCTTTGCTCCCATCTCATGAGTTTGCCTCTGTATGGCTTTTGGAGGTTTTCTGCCCCATATAGAGGATTTAAGATGCGGTCTGAAAGCAGCCAGACAAATTCTGCAAGACTCTGGCCACCTTGAATCAGGGAGCTAGCCACCAAGTAAATTAATGCATGTTACTTAGTGTAAATTGTTCTGTTTCTACCTTGTCTTTTGAAAAGCCTTTAATTTCCTGGTTAAGCAGAAGGCCAGAGTAGCAGCAGCTCACAAGACTCAGGACAAGGGGACAGGTAAGGGTCAGATAGGAAGGAAAACAGGTAACAGAGCAGTAGGGTGTTATTTCTGCAGAGGCGCTTTGGTCAGAATTTTTCTAAGATCCACAGATACGGACCCCAGGCCCTAAACTCCTTTCACAGAGGAGCTGTGGGAAATGCAGCATATCTTTGAAGAGGATGGGGCCGTTGGGGTTGACATGTTTTCACTGATGTAAACTCCTTTCCTTTGCATCCTGATGAACCTTACCTTCAAAATTTGAAACTTTGTCTTTATGTGTACTGCTAGAAATTGGTATACAGATGAGCCTTCCTGTGGAAGTGAAGCCTGTGTTGTGATGTATCATCAGCCAACGGCAAACCCTGGTCTGGGAGGGCCATACCTTTATCAATGGAATGATGACAGATGCAACATGAAGCACAATTTTATCTGCAAGTATGGCCCAGGTAGGTGAAACTAAAGTTATATTTCACAGGTGGGACGCTTTCTTAGAAAAAACAATTGCCTTTTGTTTTGTGAAGGCATCTGCAAATGTCTTGTGGCCTGTGGTATTGATTCCTTTGGCGTGTGAGTGGCTGAGCTGACATTAACACGGGACGTAATACATCAAATCTGGTGGTAATTTAAGTAAACCTGTCTGTATCCAATAAGAATGTTTTCAAGGTTAGCTTCACTTTCATGCATTCCCAGGTTTACTTTGATTTAACTCATTCATTAGTTATTTTATTCTCCACAAAGTGTTTTAAGCAGCCATTTACTACTTCCCTTGCCTGTTGTCAAGTGGGATAACCAAGACATCTCTTGGTCCTACTGTAAAAAAATTACAATGTCCTTGCACTTTCAGACCTCTGACATTTTATACCAACTTATGTGTGATGGCTGTTTCTGAAAGTCTTGACTTAAAGAGAGAAAATATAAGTTCAGAACAGCAGGAAGAAAATTCTGCATTCATACATGTAGATTAATAGATATGAAAAGCAGATGCACAGTAGTTCAGATGGTGACAGAAGAAGCCAGATCTTAAGCAATTTGGCTGTACTTCCGGACGCGACATAGATTCTGTATATGTCAGTAGAGGAAACATGAACTATAAACTAGAACTTTGTGCAAACAGAAAAAGGACGTGAAAAGTAAACTTTCAAATTGAGCCTGTAACAGTTTCTACTTTTGGTGGTACTTACAGTAAATGAAAACATGTTTTTCAGCAGGAATAATTTATGGTGTGTCTGCTTTTCAAAAACTAAGCTGAAAGTCAGAATGCATATGAAATCCTACTCTTGACAGCTATTTGACCTACCTAATTCTTCAGTTTCCTACCTGCTATCTCTATGCTCGTGATCTAGCAATAATCACCGTTTGTAGAGATTGGTCTGTCTGTAGAGATCCAGGCTGTTTTCTTCCTCCAGTTTTGGTGGATAGTTTTCTCATTCTCCGTGTCTAGTATCTTAATGGAGATATTAATGGCAATTAATATTGCAAGCAAATATTAAATAGTTGGAATGCTTGATATACCCATACATTTTATCCCAACCCCCCAAATCTGTTTCTGCTTCTAAAATTATTAGTGACTTTCACTGTCTTATGGTGATCAGTTATCATCTTGGTCACACAGGCTGATCAAGGAACTGTGATGTATACAATTTTATTACTTTTACAACTGATCACAATTATTTTGAAATAAGAATAAAAAATGTTTTAAGTTGTTAAAATAACAACATTTTTACGTCAGAAAATGCAGGTTTGGTTAAGAGGGCTCAGTTTCAAGTATATTTCATATCTTTAAAAACAAATTTAAGCGAAATAATTATTCTGTAATAGTGAAATACTTACCATTCTAGTTGTGATGTGATAATTGTTTTTTCCTGTTGCTTTCACCATCTGAAAAAATGCCGAGTATTTTTGGATTGGCAGAAAAAAAAGTGATAACAGTAACAATGAAAACGAATTTATATTTCTTTCACTATGCAGAAATAGATTACTAGTGTATAATGAGGCATATAATAAGGCAAACAATATATATATAGATTATTATTAGGACTGACATTGTTACGCAGCTAAATACAGTACTGCTGAATTGTAGCTATTTACTTTTCAAGCTGTTGGAATTGTGCTCTTTAGGAAAAGAGGCTATTCTCCAGAAATGTATTTTTCTATCACATGGAGAAAAGTAGATGCATAAATGTATATAAATAGGTATATGACATTTCTTTCACTGCCTGAAGAACGTACCACAGTGTTTGTAAGAAAATTACATTTGCTATCTAAAACCTAGTGAGACTTACAAATGACCTCCCCCCCCAATCACTGTAATAGCTTCAACATCAGCCATTTGCAATACAAAATACATACATTTTACCAGGAGTATTAAAGTGCCACATGCGTATTGAATTTCACTTTGTTATCTGAGTATATTGTTTTTGCCAACTTTCCTGTCTGTTTTGAGTATATGGCATATGATACCAGTCATAGGCCAAAATGCAGAGGTTGTAGGTAACCACGATGAAGTTGCATGTAATTGTAGCAGCAACTACATTTCTGGTAGTTACTTCCATTTTTCTAAGCCCTCTTTATAGTACCTCACTTGACAGCATTTACTGTTGCAATGCTCACTCTGGCTTTAGATCATATTGATCATTCAGCGCTCTTTAAATTTAATTATAGGTTGGTAATTGCAACCACATTTAGTTCCTGTCCAGCTCCTGTAGGTTTGATTATGCAATCAAATTAAAAACTCATCTCCTCTTCTGCTGTCTAGAGCCAGCAACTCAGTTCTTTGTGGTGTTTTGATACCTTTCTTTATATATGGCCAAATGTAGATGTTTTTTAGCGGAGTAGATGAAATAATTGTGTTTGTTCTAGTAGACTTTATTGCTTCTTCAATTTCTCCCAGCATTTTGTGTTTATCAGGACATTTGGATCTGTAGGCTAATAGTACTATACTATTAATATAATCTTATGATAAAGGCATGGTATTCTAAAAATCATGCAGATTCCACTCCTATGCCCATCCTTTCAATATGAGGTAATTATATCTGTAATCTTTGTAAACTTTTAGTTGTAACGATAGCCATAAGTAAACTTGCAAGCCTCTGCAATATAGCTGAAAGCCATGAAGTGGTTCTCCAGTTTCTGATGCATTACAAGAAATACGGTATATCATTCCTCTTTTAGTAATTTCACTTCCTTATGTGATGTGTTAGTACCCACTGCCCATGTTTTGTATTTTAGGGCTGCCTGTTGCAAACCCAAACTAGATGAAGCTGACATGTAACCTCACAAACTTGTGCTGCTTTGTTTTGCTTCATAGCCAACATTCTGTAAGCATTATTTTGAAAATGTGAATAAGATTTAAGTTTTAATCAAGAACACTTCCTATCATATTGGTTTAGGATCATCTGCACAAATGAAACTTTGAATATGTTAGGAGTTTTATTCAGCACAAGAAATTAAGTGATTTAGCCAGTAACCTAGCAGAGGCCACCAAGAATTGGAACTAGAATAAACTATAGCCCTTTTCTAAGGAGCAAAAAAGTATGAACTAGAAGTGATTTGACACTAGTTTGCAAATAGTTTTTGGTAAAAAGATTAAATGCCGAAGAATTAAGCAATTATTGTTCTGGAGACTGTATCCATTTCTGTGTTACTGCATGCAAAATAATGAAAACATCTGTTTTATTACACACAATTTTCATTCTTCAACAATTGATTTCAAATATTGATTTAACAGATAATGTCTTAGAAAAAGAATTAGGAGACAGAGTGGAGCCAGATTACGGTAAGAAATTTTGAAACATTAAATTGAGTTGCAATGGTAAATACATAATTATAAGGATAGCTTACAATAACCTCCAAAGTTACTCAAGTTTAACAGCCATAGTTTAGAACTGGAACATAGGAAAAATGAATCCTTTAGAGAGCAATAGCTACAAATATATGGCTATTGTTCAGAATAGCACTGCTCATAACTCTTGTTCCAGATGTAATGCTAATTTTGCAATAGAATCCTGTTTACATGTTTGTATCCAGCAGTTCAATCAATCCTGAAACTGTTCATTTTTCCAATATAAGTTAAAACGTAATTACTATTGATTTATTTAACAACATAACAGCCATATTTTGTACTCACTGTTTTCCTAAAATGTCTGATACCCTTTTCAGGTATTTTTCCAACGGTGCCAGCAGGAAATCCTTACGACACAAGTAAACCAGAAGATCAGTATCATGTTATTGCTACTGAAACAGGTAATGTGTTGAATGAATTGAATGTTCTGGTAAAAATATTAGCAGTGGACTCAGTTAAATTAATCTTTAACAATTTCCATTATTGTCAATGGGAGGAAGCAGTCTGTTTCCCCAGGAAGTGCTCTGAAAAAGTATACTTTTGAATAACATTTCAAAAGTTTTAGTCAGTCCTCTTCGTAACTGTGGAAGCAAATTATTTCCATGTCTCCCCAAACTTTGATCCAAATCTACAGTTTAGCAGTCCTTGAAATCTGCACCGTTGTCTCTGACCCTGGTGAGTCTCTGTCAAGATGCAAGATTTCACCGGTGTTCACCCAGCTGTGGAGCATCTTCTGCTAGGCTGTGGTAACCCATGCCTTGCCTCTCTCTGTCTCCTCTCCACCTCCTTCCCAACTCGTGTAACAAACATATGGTGCATACATTATCTTTTATATCTGATACCTGGGGCTCACAAAAAAGGCACAACTGAATCTTTCCTAACAGATAGGGCATGATGTTTTCAGTTATCTGCAGAATAAGCACTGTGCCATAGCTCCCCCAAGTACCCTGTGTTTTAAGGAATACCACACGCTAAAAGGAGTTAAATGCTTTGGTGAGCTTTCTAGCAGAGACGGCGCTTGATATTTTGAAAATGGATACCTACTGCCTAGGAGCTTGCTGTAATGCTCCCAGCTCCTTCATTTAGCAATTTATGGGTAAGAAAGTGTCCACAATTTGTACATCAAATGTATACTGTTATAAAACATGGGCATATAGTTACTGAAAAACAGTCAGACCCTTTCTGGAAGCTGTAGACCCCCTCCTCTATTGTAGGCAGATAATACAGTGCCAGCTTGTACCATTTCCCTCTCTTTTTGCCCAGGGACCTGCAGAGGAGCACCTTTAGCGCTCTCATTAGTTAAGGACAGTGTACATTTGTCTTTTAAGGGGAATGGGGAGACAAGAGCAGAGTTTGTTCCTCTTGTGGTCCTGCATGGGTGGGAATCCAACACGTAAGGGCCACTGAGTAGACAGGTTATATGGACTGTAAAAAATAATAGGCTGTGAAATTTAATCTCTTTAAATATTTGAACTTTCAATTATAAAGTTGGAAATCTCACATTGCTGCACATAGAAAATATCAGGATTTAAGTCCTTAAGATATGTTCTGCACATTGCTGGAGAAGTACTATTTTATTCTTGATATGGCTGAGTCATCTTTTTGGAACTCTTCCTAGAGAAGGAATGTGTAAATGTTCTTTTGTGTAATTTAATGTATTTCTGATATTTTACTACAGTTTTTTACTCACGTGGTTTAGAGTATTTCAACATGGGAGATATTAATGAGAACTTTTTGTCTTGTAGGTATAATTCCAAATCTAATTTACGTTGTAATACCCACTATACCACTACTGCTGTTGATACTGGTGGCTTTTGGGACTTGCTGTTTCCAGATGCTTCATAAAAGGTAAAATATGCTAACCCAAAATGGTCTTATAATGCAGAATTCATGTTTCCATTGGCAAGCTATTCATACTGAAAGACTGATTACATCTGTCCCCAAATATGCAAATAAGCATCTTTTCATCTATTAAAATACAAGTAGTTTACAGCTGAACATTCACCATCAGGCTTTTCCACAATACACTGAAATAATTCCAGGTCTCTCAAAGTATATTGCCATTAGGACTTCACCTGTTTCTGAGGAAGATATCTTTGCTGACTATTTGATACACTGAGCTACTGTCAGCACTTTTACTTCCCCTCTTCCATCATGATTACCATGTATACAGCATCTGGGCTTTGGGGAATAATACTGGGATCCTCACTGATACAGGGCGAACTCAAGGACTTATCTCAGTTTCTGACCAAAAGTGCAGTTTTTTCCAAGGATAAACCTAAGGGGGCAGCAGCTGTTTAATGCACATCCCATATGAGCAACAGATGGGCCACTGGAGCAGACAAATTGAAAGCAAAAAGCAAAAACGTGTTTTGAGCCACACGCCAGTGCAACTCCTTTGTACATCATGTATCTGTCAAAGAAGATGCATAAAGTAAATAGATATGTGTACATAGATGTAGTATCAAACAGATGTAGTATTATGCAAATAGGAAACGTTTCAGCCTATGAAACAGGATATATTTTGATCCATGCTTTAAAATTCTTTGGACTTTTTATCTTTCTCAAAATATGATATACCAAGATATGACAACATATAATTTTTTTTTTCTGAACTAATATTTTTGAAACTTTCAAGGATACTTTTCATTCTGCAGGTTTTTTTCCTGAAGCATTCTCAAGTAAATGTAATCCAGAAAAGTTTAAACTGAAATATGTTTTATGGATAAACACTATTTTGGTAAAATAACAAGAGTAATAAACAGATTCACAAGCTGTTATCCCTTTTGAAGGGCAGGAATACGAAATCACTGTTTTAGGAAATTAGGAAAAAAAATTTCCTCCTTGCTTTTTGTCTTTTTTTTCTTTGTGTTTTTTATTTAGTATTTTCTGCAAACAGCTGAAATACCTTATTTCAAGTGAAAAAACACTCCAAATGTCAAGTCTGCTTATATCTGTATGAGTGAGTGTACACTGACGTTTGCAGCACTCCTTAGTTATGTGTCTCATTGAAACAAGTGAACATAAAGAAAAGATATTATGCGATCTGCATAATAAACTAGATTGTATCTTTGTTATGCACTTTCCTATAAAGAAAAGGAAAGCGCGCACCTTCCAACCTGTCTTATGGCAGGCAACTTCAGTGTTGTGAAAGGTGGTATCCAAACCTCAGTGCTGGAGCTGTAGAAGGTTGGAAAGTCAAAGCAAAAAGAGTAATAAAGGAATCATATGTATAACAATAGCAATTATATAAGCAATCTGACTCTGGAACCCTTATTACAATGGACCTGGATTTCTTGGTAAGTATGATATGCATGTTCGTACCTTTTCTGGCAGCTCTTTCTTTCCCCAGAAAAGGTTCAGCTCTCGAATACTCCTGGGAAAACAATGAGAGATTCATGGCCCACTGAAATCAATAGAAATAGTAGTGTTGACTTCAGTGGGCTTTGATCAGGCCTTTGATGCTATAGCATTTCATCCAGAAGTAATTCATCTGAACTTCCAAGACTTAAAAATTGCAGGACACAGATATTGGAAATTCAGCTTGGAAGATTGTACTTTTTCTGTTAGCTGATTAGTTTGGTAGATTAAATGATGCAAATATCAGGGAGAAAATGGATTTGAATCAAACCAGATTTTTTTTCAGGATGTTCATTTTGGGTTGCACCAAAGCTTTTAATTAAAGAAAATAAAACAAATTTTCTTAAAAATCCATTTAAGTTGAAAGAGGATATTCTGGTATCACCAAAAATGAAGGATTTTCTTTTTTACCTGTTGAAACAGAACTTTGTTTTTAAAAAATGTTTCCCCATCTATATTCAGTTATATTTCCACCTTGTGTGAATCATTTTGATTCATCACAAATACACAGTTCTTGGGTAAAAAGCAAATGAAAAAAAGATGCAACCGCTTGAACTGATCATCTGGACACTGTAGAGCTTTAGGAAAGGGATTCTGTCCTGCTGGGGAAGGAGGGATCCCCAACTTTCCAAATGAACCTGACTTCTCATTCTTTTTTAGGATTCCACAACATGGTGACCTTTCCTCTGAAAGCCACAATCCATGGCCAACCAGGACATGCCTAGCTTGAAAGGTCATGACTAATTTTGCCTGGCATTGGGCTCTTAAAGGGTAGTAATAAGGCAAAGCAAAACATCTTCCCTGTAGCTAGTAGAAATGATCAGCTCATTCATGCTTAGATGCTCTCCCTTTCATTTCTTCCAGGGAAGCAAGGAGAAACTGCTTCAAAGACCCATCTCCATTATCATCTGAATGCCTTGCAGAAAGTTTAAATTCCAACCTGGTATATTTCTCAGTTTCTATGATTGCATTTGATGGTCAAAACAGTGATATGCTCAAGCTATTTATTGCATCTTCCTTACCTTTCTTACTAAAACCTATTTCCTGAACCAGATGTATAGCTGTTTAAAATCAGCGTAGGTTCGCTGAAGATAAGCTCATTTTATACAGCTAAAGTTCTCATCCAAGGTATTTAGAAATTGTTCCTGCTGTGTGGCAGGGACTCTTCAGTCAAAGCATTTCATCATTAATTTACAAAATATGCCTGATTTTGCTGTATTAATCTGGAAGGAAGTAGTGAATCAGTTTCTTAAAGAAAGAGGTGCTGAAACTACTTGATTCATTGCGATTGCTTTGTTTATAGCATTGTGGCCTGATCTAAAGTCCACTGAAACCAATGGGAGTCTTTTCAATTACTCCAATGGGCTCAGGTACATAATGCATTACTTTGTAGGGCTTCAGAGGTAAGTCTGGAGGGACTAAAAACTACTGTACCGTCCAGCTCCCTCAAAGTGCATTTTAAATCAACTCAGACTTGCTTACATTTACACACCAGGAAAGGAGTAAAACTGAATATATAGGACTGTTGGGATCTTGACTCTCAGGTTTCCAACTTACAGAATTATGTAGGGCTACTTCTCCTCCTCTGTTTTTTACTTAATTGGAAAAAAACCCATCAGTGTGAAATATTCTGGCCAGAGAGTAAAACATTCTGATTGAAATGCAGCTGCAGTGGCTCATGAAGTGCCTTTTCTTTTCAGTAGACTGCAGTGCACTGTCGTCTGCCATGTAAGTGAGGGAAGGTGGTGTGTTGTGGCAGTTGTAGCAGAGGTGCTAGCCACGTGGAAAGACTGGCATCAACTTACACGGTACCTCAGGGTTCCCTGTAAGGATTAGAGTGAACATTTTTGCAGTGTTGCAGAGCCAAGTACTTTTGGAACCAGTTTTATCTTTTTTATTAAAACAACAACAAAAACAACAACAAAACAAACAGAAAACTACTATTGGTAGTTTTGAATGAAAACTAGGCCTAAGGAAGCTTTCTACCAGTCATTCATTGCTAGGAGTCTGATTCATGCACCATTACTTCATTAGAAGTTAGGTCAAGCCCAGAAGGGAATAGGCTTTCTGGAATACCGGTACACGCTGGCATCCATTAGTGTAGTGTGGTCATGGGGGTGCAAATCCAAGACGTGCGTGGGCAGGGTTGCAGTAGCCCCCCGGGGTGGGTGGGCTGGACCCCGAGCACATTGGACATGGGCTTGGGGGCATGTGTGTTCCCATCCCCCATATGTTCCCCCAGACAAGGGAAGTGCCCAGCCTCCCACCACCCTGGTCAAACAGTGTCCACACCCGTCTCTGAAAAGACCACTCTGTATGAGTAGGTGTGGTTGAATGTGAACTGGAAAAAAAAAAAAAAACGAAAAACAAACACCACCCCCCCCAGAAAAAAAAAACCCAACCCCCCCCCAAAAACCAGGCCAAGTCAGCTCTGTGGGTGGTCTGGTAACTTTGGTAACAGGTGTTCACCTCGACCCACCGCTGCGGTGCTATGCTTGGTGCAGCACGGGCATGACCCTTTTGTGGATGGGGAGCCTAGGCTATGAAAGCAATGAAGATGGCCTTCAAATAGGGGATGAAATACCCAGGTCTGATCACAAACCTGAATCAGGACTGCAAAGGCACGCATGCACTGAAAATAGTTTATATTTTTATTTTTCAGTAAAGGAAGAACAAAAACCAGTCCAAACCAGTCCACACTATGGATTTCAAAGACGCCTAGGAAGGACAGTAGCATGGAGGTATAATGATTTACTGACTGAAAACAGCAAAAACAACATTTTGCAGTCAGGCTGTATTACAATGTCATCAAAGAACATTAGCTTGGAATGGCTTGAAAATGCAAAGGATCTACAAGAATGAACTGTAAGCTCCCCCTTGAGGCAAATGTTCAGATCATTTTTATATAAAGTTTGATTATTAATTCAGTAACAAAATATGCCATGCTAAATAAAGGGTATGTGTTTATTTTGCTAAGAGATGTAAGTTAGCTAGTTATGAGCAATGAAATGAACAGAGCATTTGAAGTTTTTATGGGGAAATACCTACAATGTATATCAGTTTTAAGATTGTTTGTAGTTAAACAAACCCTCTTTGTTTCCTTTAGTCTCTCATGCATTGTAATGTAGTTGATGTACTGTAAATGGAACTGACAGTTTTACAGTGTAACAATTATTTATCTTTGCATAAATGTTTGATACAAAATATTTGTTTAGTATTTATTTGCACACTTAACACAATTTTTTTTATCCTCAGGCACACAAATTATTTTATTACATGTTAACATGGTCACTAGCAGAGAGTGCCACTATGTTGTGACATTGATCTGATGTGGCAAAATTCCAGGATTCCTGAAAGTCCCTTGATGTCATATAATGAATCCACTTTCCCAGGGAATGACCATACCTTTTTTACATACTGGTCCAAGGTCAGCATAAATCACTTGGCAAGTGATACCTCATTAATGAGGTGTCCTTTGAAGGCAGCCGTTAGTTGTTATTTAAGTAAAATATTTTTTACTTTTTCTGAGGGAAAAAATAATATCACAATGGGCAAGAGTTTAATCTTAAAATTACTTGTTTCAGTAGATCTATGTAAAAAAGACATTAAAGATCATTTAAATATAGCTAATAGTTTGTGAAGAATAATGTAAAGTTGGATCAAAGAGAAGACAAATGGCTTTTATTGGAAGTGGAACTAATAGATTGATTCCAGTGTTACTCAGACTATTAGCTAGAAAAACGTTAATTATGTTAATTGATAGACAGATTTAGAGGTAAGCTTGATGCATTTAAAGTCTTCTTTTAGAGTTATTAACATCATTAATGTCCATTCTCTTTGGTTACTTAAGAGCTTTCTGCGCCATTAGAATGGTTTTACCAGTCATTAGGAGGAGATCTTGGGGTGGTAGCAATAGCACTCTGCCTGATTTGTTGGTGACAGTCTGGTGCTGTGGCAGATAGTTACGGGATTTTGCCGCAGTTGCAGCGAGAGTTCAAGAGCACAAACTCAAGCTAGCTGGCTTTCCGTTAACACAGATGCAAAACTACCACTGGGTGAAAGTTGGGGAGAGCTGGACAGAAGCAAAAGCATATTACTCTTTGGGTTTCCTACACTGTGCTAGCTGATGTTGGCCACAGCTTTGAACTTCAGAGAGAAATGTGTATCAATTTTTCTGAGTAAAGGAAAAAAAAAATTAAAGTTCAATAGAAAGTTCAATACCAGTAATACTAATTGTGCAATATTGCTGAAGCGCTTTGGGAAGCATCTTAAAGTTGCTGTTATGCCATGTTTTTACTTCCTCTTTGAAGAAGCCGCCTTCTGTAGTTCAGGTTAAGTATTGCTATTCCTACTTACAATATTCTGTAGTTTTCCCAGTCAGTCACAACTTCTTTCTTTGCTCAATCCCTTACTTGTAAAAAAAATCTTTTTTTTTTTTTTTTTTAAATGGTCTTGAAGGATCAACTCCCCAAAGAAAATAGGGAAGGAGGCAGAGTGAAGATTTACATAAAACTATTTCTTGATACTTTGTGCTTCCAAAGGATGTGTAAAGGTACAGCAATTGATATCCTGATTAGTGCAGCAGAAGTGACAGAAGTCATTTCCATGCAGCAATTAGGAGGATGCAGATACCTTCAGATGTCTGTCTTAGAGGCTGAAGGCGATTACTGGGCAGTTATCAGCATGGACCAGTCTTAAACTCTGTGTGAAGGAAGAACGGAAAGCGGCATGCAATGCTTTTATTATAATGAACTCAGATTCTATATGTAAATAAGAAATACTGATTATTGCAACAAAATATTTCCATATCATCTCACCTAGAATGTCCTGAGTTGGAAGGGACCCACAAGGATCATTGAGTCTCCTGCTTAGAAGAAGGAAATAGTTTTCTTCCATGTATTTCCTTTGCTTAGGATGTTGTTCCTAGATACCAGGTAAAATCTAAACAATCTTAAGAATCCTATGTGGAAGACTGCGAACAGTGCACAAATCAAAGGTACAGTCTTATGATTTCCACCTTTAAGTGGGTGATTCTATTCCATGCAAAACACACAAATCCTGTACACACACAAATTCTTTCATCTTTATTTCCCTTATTTCCACGCACAAAAGGGAGATAGGAGTAAGGGTAAAAGGGGAAAAGGGGTAAGAAAGATAGGTGTGTTTCACACTTGCAGAGAGAATACCTAGAAATTAGACTTTAGGCTGGAAAAATCCTTTGGATTTTGTTGGGGCTTCCAGAAAAACAACCACGGGTATTTAACGTGACATGGTCCATTAGTGGCAATAGAATTGCTATTTAAAAAGAAAAGAAAAATAAAAATCCAACAAAAAAACCCAACCCTCGCTGTCCTTCATATTCACAAGAAACGCTACAGCATGGAGAAAGGAAAATGATTGCCAATTTCAGGTGACAGATTTCATCAACTAGAGCCACTTTGAATAAGCTGATTGACTTTTATGTACAGCTATGGGGTCCCCTGGCGGTGACCACATTACCTTTCTTCTCACTGCCCCTCTAAATCTCTTCTAAATGGCAGCAGTAGGTGAGGCAAGGAACTGAAGGATGAACAGTAAACCTTAGCTAGTCCTTAGATGGATGGCGTGGCTTCAGTTTAGCATTTTAAAAATATTATGCTCCTATTTTCTCCAGGGAATATAATTTTTCTTTTTTTTCCTTAGTGATCTTGGCCTTTTGCAAGCAAGATGCATCCGAGAGAGAAAGCTCGTATTTCCTTCTTTAAACTTTTTTGGGTGCAAGCAAGTTTAAGTCAACTCAGCATCAAGCTTCCACCACCTATTTCGAAGTATCTTGGACCTGTGACTCAATTGAAAATAATCCGTTCTGCCCATGTCTTAACATAGTAACGACTGGTTTCTCCACAGGTTAATATGCAGGCAAGTGAAGTAATGGATGCTGAATGAAGACTAGAATGTGGTCGACTAAGGTTATGTTAGTTTTATCTAGACATAAAATAGCTGAAATAAAATGTTTATGTTTAATTATACTAGTCTATATTATGTTTCTATATAAGAGTTTATAATAGGAAATTTTTTAGTCTGAGGGGATGGTTTATTAATGTATACCTCAAAATACATCTATGCTTTGCATTTTGGGAAGCAAAAAGTACACATAAATAGAAGTATATTACTGTATTTCTGGGAAGCACATTTTATAGTAACTGGATCGGCTTTGAGTTGGCTCTTGTATTTCATTAGTAGACTGAAACACCATTTACAATAGTGATGTATGGTAAATAATGCAGAAATCATGTCACGGTTTAATTAAGTATTTTAACGTAATTGCTTCATCTGAATCAATTTATTCTGATAGCAGAATGCACTTTATTTTCAGTGGCTGTTTTCAAGTGAAGGAGAGGAACAGGAGAAACAGTAGTCCACTATGAAAGATAGGATTTGCAACTTTAACATTTTAATGTTAAAAACTGTGTGGTTTATATGAAAGAAGGTGTCTAAAACACATTTTATCTTCTCTCTGGCTTAATTACATCTATCTGTGTTCCTTGTGGTCACATGTATTGATAAAGCTAAATATTTTGGTCTGGACCTAGTCCTCTAATGCTTATGAAGACCTGAAAACAGTTTGGGACTTGGTATTTTTTATCAGTGACTGCCAGCCTGTGTTTGTGAGCGAGCCTTGTATTTGAAGCACTTCATATCTGCATTTAGCGTCGTAAGAACCACATGTGGGAGCTCCTTACAAAAATCATGCATCTATGTGTATATGTGTAGATACACCTACATGGTAAGTTAGAATGTATTTTGTATTTTCATGCAGTACTTTAGAATTAAAAATATATTAAATTCCTACACTAGGCTGAAAAAAAAAATAAAGCAAATGCATCATATTACGCTAACATTAAGACACCATTGCATTTAAGGCATTTCAACAAGTAGATAATTATATTTTAATATAAACCTAGTTAGAAAAGAGCTCAAGAAGATAAACCCCCTTGTTTTTCTTCATATTTTTTCCCCTTTAGAATGCTGTAATGGGCTATCATGATAGTTTTTATACAAAGCACAAAATCAGTATTAAAAGTCACCAGTACAGAAAAAGCAATATATTGAAGGAACTCTAGTACTTTTTATTCACCAGGAATAGCTCATAGTGATTATTGTCAGATGTTTTTACAAAACATTACCTTTTATGAGAGGAAGTTGCAGTATTGTGAGTCTGTGCTTGGGCGTACACAAGCACATATCCGTAATTGCTTGAATAATTGCCAAAACACTTGCCTAAAAAGAAAACTAAAAAGCTATATTCAATCCTTATTTAACTCTATTAATTCCAAACAAATTACACAAGGGAGAACTTTTGGCTTACATTCAGTTTATTCATTAGAAAGCAGCATGATACATGATCAGCCTTTATGCACAATCCATAAACCTCATTCCAGAGCTTTTTGTAATAGACAAGACAGAAGAACTCCCATGAGCCCAGTTTAAATGGATAACGTATACCTTCATTTTGATATGTGGTAAGATTACTGAGAAGAGTTGACTATGCATTGAAATGAAAACGCATGTTGAAAAATACACTGTAAAAACATAAAACCAGGTAATGTTTGGCCTGAAATTAATAAGTTAGACCATTTTTCAATAAAGCATTTGCAGTTTGCAAAGTTTTTTTTTTTTACTGCCCATGCTTTGTAAAGCCCTCCACTATGCATATAATGCACTGGTGTTCAAAGAAACTGTTTCCCCACAGTCTCATATAAAAGAAAACGTAAAATGATAAAACTATTAACAAAACCACAGCATCTGTTTTGAAATACTGCTCTCAATTGGAACTCTCAATTATTAATATTTTCCTCCCCAAAATTTAAATATTTATTCAGTTTCTCTAACTGTGAGATTGGAGTGCTAGTCTGGTTTACATCATTATACAATGGCTTGCCTTCAACCTTTAAATTCTATTTCTGTCATTAAAAAATATCAAGCTAATAGATGATTTTTTTGATCCAGTCCACAAACATGGTGACGCGAACATACACTCCTGGTCGTTTGGGAAGTGCACACTTGTAGCCAAATGATGTTACACCAACCAAAAACCACTTGTTGCCATCCTCAGATGTCAGAGGGCCACCTGAATCTCCCTGCAATATGAAATTCAAAAGTTAAAAGTGAACAGTGTCAACTCCAAAGCAAAGCCTGTTTATGATGTTTTGTTCGTGCT